AGTCCCCCCGAAAGTGATATAGTTTTTGACTTCAAAAAAAAATCTGGCAACATCAATTGTTTTCAAAAATCTTCCAGTAGATCTCACAGCGGCTGTACATCTTTATGCAATATGCTACTGTCAGAGCGCTTCCAAAGGCTGTGTGTTCCTGGGCCAGCTCCAAATTCTAGGTGCATAGAAAGTCTTGTGGTAGACATGGGGGTTGAGGATGGAGCGTGCCGGCTGCCCCTTTCATTCCGCTTTCCATGTTTCAAAAGGAGTTCACTCTGGATAACCGATATACCAAAATAGCACCTGAGAAAACTCATCTGTTTGATCTTGTAACATCTCCACAATCCTTGGGATGTGTAGGGCCATGCATTCATTGTTCTTCATAGTGAATTGTGAGATGCAAGGCCTGATACATGAAGATATATTCAACGAAGTTTCTGGGAAAAGCAAAAAACAATAGAGCATCACATAAATTGGGATTGAGAAGGTGGCTTCCATTCAAGAAAGGTTGCAATACGAAAGTATCCCACGGAGTGACCTTAGGAGTACCCAAGTTATGCTGTGTAGCTGAAATCGACAACAGCAGGAGTGTGCGGCTCAAGATCCGGTGCGGAGCAAATATGCACTGAAAGCCATCATGTCAGTTCGTGTCAATTTGGCGCTGACTCATCAGGATCTGGTCAAGAGTCTGATCCAGAATTATATCCACCCAGATAAACTGAGTCATGACTTACATGATGGAATCTGAGATAAATTGCCAGACCTCTCAGCGCGACCAAAGGTCTTCTCAATGCCTGATAGAACCTTGACTGAAGGAACCAATTAGATCGAGAGGATCTAGATTTGTTGGGCGTGTTCGTTGATGGATAAGGCCACATTCATGGCACTCAAGCTCATTTGTCGCTGTCGCTGTCGCCGCAGTCAAATTCAAATTCAACCTTAACAGTTAAACTACAACCGTTGCATCCAACAATGTCCCTCTTAGACTCCATATCTTGGCTAGTGATCATGAATTGGCCACCACATCGACATGAATAGATAAATTGTTGAACCGGCTCTTCGTGTTCGGTGATCTTCGTGACAGTTGAGATTTCAGTGAATTCGGAAAGGTCGACAGTGTGGGATACGATTGGCTTCCTGGTATCGTTTTGACCTAAAAAATTTTGGAACAAAATACGCTTGAATTAGCATCTTTATTTGACCCTTATGTCTGACTGAAGAACCGGGTAGCAATCCGGCGTGAAATGCCAAGGGATCGAAAGTGCGGCAGGTAAACTAACATTTGGATCCAAGCACTGCTTGGCTTTGATCCAGCTTTAGTTTGAGATCGTATGCTTCCCGTTTCGTCTGATCGGCCAAGATGGCATAAGCTTCTATGATTCTTTGAGCCGAAGACTCGTATAGGGTAGGTCCACAAAGTTGATTTTTATCCGGATGCGATAGCTTGATGAGTCGAAGATAAGCTTGTCGGATTTCACTTGAACTGGCATTTGATGTAAGTTGAAGTGTTTGATAGTGTGAGCAGAGTTCTTCACATTTATTCATTGGTGAGATTGATTGTATGTAGTATCACGTTCAGGGCATGGTCATTGATGTGCAGTTGACCACTTTTTCCTTTTCGCAACTTCGAACATCTGCAAGCCGACCTGTTCGAACCCATGCCACACTGTATCACGTGACTCTTTGCTGAGCACCGCAGTCATGCAGAAACCCATGAATACATACAGATTTACACATTTTTTAGATGCGGTATTTTTGCCGGCAAGAGTCGCTTGCAAATTGCAATTCAGTTCTTCCAAGCAGCCTTGCCCTTCCCCACTGTATGCTATCGGGTTCCTGACACTGCCGAACGTGTTGCCGGTTGTGGTAGATCTCATTTCTGCCAGGGCTCCGTACATTTACTTATATTAATCACATCTCACCTCAGCTCAACCGATTCGAAATCATGCCACCACCCATCGCACATGGACAAGCGGAGCAATCGATCCTCCAAAAACGTGAGTATGCAGGCGAACGGCTGCGTATCATTTTAAGAACATCATAAAGTAACTCAGCTAACGAGTCCTTTGAATCGGTCCTTTAAACTAAAGTTGGAATGGGAGCAGCTATGGGTGGAGCCGTTGGAATGACTTTGTGAGGATGTTTTCAGTTTTAAGAAGGCTGTTCGAACATACAACTAATCAATCCAACATCTTACATTTTTCTAGAGGTTTTATCTTTGGAGGGTTTTCTATCATCTCAAGGGGTGCTGGTCCAAGAGGTCCTTTAAACACTCTTGCAACTTATATGTTATCTAGTGGTGGAACGTTTGCATTTTTTATGTTTGTGATTTCATCGAAATGATCTTGGATAATGATGAATGTTAACAAGATGCTTAACTAATCAATCTGTTTTCAATCCAATCTTGTCATGATGATCCTTAGGTCGATTGGGTCAGTAATCCGTACAGAAGATCATCATCACTACTCCATCTCTGAACTTGCTGCTGCTCGGTATCGTTGGAGGAAACAGTTGTCTATTCCAGAACAAGTACATACATCAGGTTTTGAAAAAAATGAATAAAAATCCCATGCAGAACTCGGTCTCCGATGGATTTGAATTGGTCCTAAAATCTTTAAAGATACTCACCTATGCCCTGTGATTGACGTCACAAAGCATTGAAGAATCACTTGACTAGCGTTTGGTATTTTAGTTCTTGGATCAAGGTGGTGAAGATTGAGACTGATTCACGTAAGACACTCTCTGTGGGCGTTACGCAGTGAAGCCGAATCAGATCGAAGTCAGAAGATAGCCCAAACGGATAGAATCCAACCATGCTAAGCCTATACCTCT